AAACCACTGGAAACTCTCGAGGTTCAATATGCCAGTTTCTTTTAACAGATACATTGTAAGGAAAATAAAAAGATGGAAGGGGAACCTAGAGATTAAAAGTGACTTAAAAAAAAGGGAGGGGAAGACTTAAAAGGCATATAAAGTCAGAAATAATAAGAGGCAAAACTAAAGTGACAGGGATAAAACCATAAAGAAAAGTAAGAAAGTTATTACTATAAAAGTCAGGGTAGTAGGTAATTTTGGATGGAGGGAGAGAGCTATAATTGGAGTGGGCTACATGGAGGGGGTTCTGGGAAAGGCTGGCAAAGTTCTGGTTTTGGTCCTTAGATGATGGTCACAAGGGAGTTTGCCTTATACTAATTCACTAAGCTAAAACAATAAATTAAAAAGTTGTTGAAGGAATGCACATTATTGGGGCAGTTGGGGAAACCTGAATATGGACTGCATATGAGGTAATGTTTACGTAAACAAGGAAATGTTAACTTTCCCCAGTGTGATAGTGGTACCTGGATTGTATTAGTGAATGTCCTCGTTCTTTGGAAATACATGCTGAATTAGGTATGGGTGGAAAGTGCAATGATACCTACAACTAACTCTCACATAGTTCAGAAAAAGAAAATACATGTGTGTGTGAGTGCCCACACATGTGTAAAGTAAGACACAAAGCAAATGTAGCAAAATGTTAACTGGTGAATCGAAGTGAAGGGGAGAGTCATTATATACTATTTCTGCAACTGTTCTGTAGTTTTGAAATTTTTTCAAAATAAAAATTGGAGAATACAACAAAACAACACACAGACACACAAACACACAAACACACACACACACACACCCCATAGTGAAAAACTATTTTAAAGCTACCAGAATGGCAAACTGGAAACAACCACTTTGTAGAACTACTTGGCGTCATCCAGTAAAACTGATGTGCAGACCCTATGAACCAGGAATCCCAGCCTAGGAAAACTCTTAATATATCTGACAGAGGTACAAAAATGCTCACAGCTGTGTGTGCAACAGTATACTGAAAATCACCCAACTAGTCATCAACATGGTTATCTTCCCACAAAGGAATATTCTACAGCAGTGAAAATGAATAAACTATAGCCATACACAGCCCATAAACATGTGTTTTTTTTCCCCCATAAACATGTTAAGGGGACAAAACAAGTTACAAAGTAGTACACATGGTAAGATTCCATCTAGATAAACTCTTTATATTTATATGTATATTTGATATATTTATTTATAAAGACAAAAAACAGGCAAGCGCAACTACAGTGTTTTAGAAGAAGAACAAGGAAATGAAAAACCAAATTCTGGATAGTAGCTCCCTCTGGGGACACAGGGGCAGGAGAGGGAGGGCATGGAGAACTTGGAATGCATTGGTAATTTCCTATCTTTTATTTTTTAATTTTTTCAAAGATTTTATTTATTTATTTGACAGACAGAGAGGGAACACAAGCAGGGGGAGTGGGAGAGGGAGAAGCAGGCTTCCCGCAGAGCAGGGAGTCCGATGCGGGGCTCGATCCCAGGACCCTGGGATCATGACCTGAGCTGAAGGCAGACGCTTAATGACTGAGCCACCCAGGCGCCCCAGTAATTTCCTACCTTTTAAAGGTGGGTGGATGATTGGTATATATGTGGTCATTATACTGTTGGATTTTAAACTCTGTCTCTGTGTGTGTCTGTAAACAGAAGTTTTTTTTAAGATTTCTTTTTTTTTTAAAGTTATCTCTATAGACACCCAATGTGGGGCTTAAACTCACAACCCCAAGACCAAGAGTTGTATGTTCCACTGACTAAGCCAGCCAGGTGCCCCCGTAAACAGAGTTTAAAATCCAACAGATATCTTCTATCTGAAAACAAAAACAAAACAAAAACAAAAAAACAAACCCTAGACCACACTAGGCTGACAATATTCTTAGATACACCCATCATTGCTTCACAATTCTGACAAACAGTTCATTTTAGCTGAAGCAGATAAACTTCTCTGACCTGACCAAAGGCAATGACAGAACTGAAAGACCACCTCGTCCGAACTACTGGTCGAAGACTCAGTGCAAACATTTAGTATCAATTCCTAAAAGGGAAAAGGGATGTGGCAGAGCAGAAAAATGCCACAGACTTATTTACGGTCTTTGAGAGTAATACAACTCCATAGCAAATAATATAATTGAGAACTGAGCCATCATTCATACCACTGAAAATTTCAAGGCCCCGTTTTATTTTTACTTATTTATTTTTTAAATTTTATTTTATGATGTTATGTTAGTCACCATAGAATACATCATTAGTTTTTGATGTAGTGATCCACGCTTCATTGTTTTCGTGTAACACCCAGTGCTCCATGCAGTACGTGCCCTCCTTAATACCCATCACCGGGCTAACCCATCCCCCCCACCTCTAAAACCCTCAGTTTGTTTCTCGGAGTCTGTAGTCTCTCATGGTTTGTCTCCCCCTCGGATTCCGCCCCCCCCTTCATTTTTCCCTTCCTTCTCCTAATGTCCTCCATGCTATTCCTTATTTTCCACAAATAAACGAAACCCTATGATAATTGACTTTCTCTGCTTGACTTATTTTACTAATCTCCTCCAGTCCCATCCATGTTGATGTAAAAGTTGGGTATTCACCCTTTCTGATGGCTGAGTAATATTCCATTGTGTATATGGACCACATCTTCTTTATCCATTCGTCGGTTGAAGGGCATCTCGGCTCTTTCCACAGTTTGGCTATTGCAGACATTGCTCTTAGGAACATTGGGGTGCATATGGCCCTTCTTTTCACTACACCTGTGTCTTTGGGGTAAATACTCAGGGCCCCGTTTTAAACACGATGTCCACAAATTCCTTTTGACTGTTTAGAACCACAGGCATGTACCTTCGTTAGATCACTACAGTGATAACTATGGACAACCATGCATCTAATTGAGACTGCTAATTTCAAGCCTGACTTGAAAACCGATTTCCAAATAAGCTAAGAAACAAACAAAAATCTCAATCAAGTGTCCCCCAGGTCCCTTCAAAGACACAGTTCCTGGGCCCCAAAGGATTCCTGTTCCAGGGTAACCTGTATCTTTGCTCGCATTCATAAAACAAAATAAAAACCACTGAAACCCACAAAATCCAACAAGAAGGGGGAAGAGCAATAAAAAACAATGGCATTTCACCATCAGATAATTTCTGAAATCTAAGTATATCAAAATTTGATTAGAGCTATCTGTTGTTCTTCATTTGAAACTTGTGCTAAATATTTAAGTAGTCAACATCAATTTTATTACCTTCTAGTGAGAGCACACAACCTTCAGGAGGAGATTATGCTTTCAAGGTAAACAAATGAAAGAACATTACATTCTCAATGACTCTGAAGAGGACAAAGGCACAGAAGACTAGAGAAAAAAATAGAGGCCAACCACGAGCTAATTAGACATCTTTACTCTCTCACTCCCCAAAGACTCGCATATAAATGTGAGTAGCTTTAATATCTAACGTTTCAAATTACCATAAAATGCTGGCCTGTTTAACCTGCATTCCAACCACAGTCCCGCTGCTTCTGCCCTGGGCTGAATTCTCAGAGCAGAGAAAGCTATTTCCAAGCTAGAGGCTCTGGGCAGGAGGGGGTGGGGGGAATCCCCTCCTTGGCTTTCATGCGCAGTGGGTCTGAGCTGTGCACGGACACCACGGTGAGCACTCAGAGGCTCCCAGGAGACACCCGCCCAACTGGCTTTGGGGCACGTGTGTTTCTGCCACCACCACAGTGAGCACTCGGAACTGAGCATGAGTTTCATTTTCCACGTTTCTTTCTAGGGCTCTGTAGAGCTTTCCTGACATTCTATTTCCTTTCCCATATAAAACTCGGTGTGGACTTAAGGAATTCTTTAAACAGGAAAGCAAGCTTCCAAAGAAAATGTCAGAGGAATGGAAACAAAACTATGGGTGTTTATTTTTTAAAGGGGATTGCCAAAGGGCACTTGATATTAACACAGAACTTCCTACTCAAAGCTAGCTTAACCAGGCTCCAGAGAGACTAATTCCTTTAGCTACCACTAACACAAAAATGAGTCTTAAGATTTCACTGGAAGACTATTTATGTAAATAATGAGGAGCGCTCATAATTGATTCTACAATATTACATCCAAATTCTGGATTTCAATTTTGACACAGTTCTTTATATTTTTAAAGAGTATTTTGATTTGAGATGACAGAAGTCAAAATGAACTTCCTTCAATCTATAACATAGAAGGTATGTTAATATAAGAACCCTGATTCTTCCTTATCGAGCAGTGCCTCCAAGGGCTTGGAGGAGACATGATGCCTTGTTCTATACTCATTCTTCCTTATCAGAGGAAAGAATGTTCCAGCAAACAGGGGCAACATTCAATCAGCTATGGGGCTGCAAGAAGAGATGAAAGATGACACCTTCTTACAATTACACAACCTCCTCCCTCTGCCTTTCATCCACCAGTCAGCAGAGAGAATATGGTCTGTAGCTGGTGGCTGATCCCCAACACACCACAGCTCATGCCCGTAAGTGGGCCAAGAAGGCTAGGGGATGAAGAGATACGGTCGTGCTAAAAGAAAGGAGGGAGCCCATAGTAAATGAAATAGCAAGAGGAGGAGGCTTGGTTAGTTGTTTTGTTTTGTTTTGTTTTTTGCCTGGGAACACAGTATGTTCTCTATGAATCCAGTTTTGATAAAACTTTCAGAAAATACACTACACGTTGAGCACATTATAAATACAACAGAGAGGAAATGATGATCTAAGACCACAGTAGAATGCATTTTATGGTCACCACTTATTCAGCCCTGCCGATAAAAACCAAATGCACAGAGGTTCTATTTCTCCTCCAATAAAGGCCACCAAGAGAGAATCTGAGCTAGAAGCGTAATGAAAACAAACAGGAAAAGCAGGATCAGGCAACAGTGTTATCAAGAATCTTATAAAACCCTAGAGAAACCATATATTTAAACCAAAAGGAAGATAATGAAAAAGATCTTTCTCACCTTTTGAAAGTTCTCCTTCCACAAATCTTCTATGACTATGTATCCTCGTAAACCCCAGTCATATAGTTTCTCCCCACTGACCTTGAAACAAAATATAAAAGATCCATTGCTATTCCATACATGACTGGTAAGAATGAGAATATTCCACTTTCCTTTTTCCTGTTTCCAAAAGAACTGTATTTAAGCATACGGCAGCTCCAGAAGCCTTGGGGCATACACATTAAGGCTGTGCAACATAAGCAAATCAAAAGATAGCGAGAATCATAGCATAAGCAGAAAACAGTTTGGTCGTGCAGTTACTGTTTAAAATAATTTGCCATAAATTACAGGTTAATAAGGAAAAAAATGAAGGAGGTCAACTGCTGATACGTGAAATTCCTGAAAACGAGACACAGAAAGAAGGCTTCTGCCTATCACATCTAACACATCACAGCCAACCAAGGCACATGCCCAGCTGAAAATCACTCACTCATTTTAGGGGCCTGGATAAAAAATTAGGTGAACCTAATGAAGATGGTCTTAGTTTTCCCAGGTCCCCCAAAACATAAAGTCTTCACATTTCTATAGGGATTTTGCCTCTTGATCCAAGATCCTTTCTACAACATCCTGAGAGGTAGGCCCCAGGGTCAGAGAATACTTTGGGGCCAAGCCACTCACTCCTTCATATGATACTGTAATAGCATTACATGGTGACAGATGGTAGCTACATCTGTGGTGAGCACAGCATAATGTATAAACTTGTCAAATCACTATGTTGTACACCTGAAACTAATGTAATATTGTGTGGCAACTATACTCAAATAAAAAAAAATTAAAAATTAAAAAAAAAAATGCCCTGGTCCACCTTTCTCTAGTTGACTTTAACTGTTGGAATTTTTACATTTTAGGTATTATTGATTTTTCTTAAAAAAAAAAAAATGCTTCCAGTAATTTGCATTCATTGGTCCTCCATGTGACAAACTATGTTTACTCTTCTACATGGAATTTCCACTGTAAATTTCTGAAAGCAGTTATTGTTGTCTTTCTAATTTTTATATAATTTATCTATGTATAGCATTTTAGTTTATAAAGCACTTTCACACGAATTATTTCTATTCTAAATAACAACCCTGTGCAGTAAGTAGGCAAAGATTATACGGAAATATTCAGCGGCCAAGTGACTAGTCCAACTAAGGTCACAGTACTAGTAAATCCGGTGATCACTGTAACATGCTGGTTCCTTAAAGTTATTTTCTTCCAGTTGCTCTAACTGTTCTTAAAATATATGATTCTCAGACCCACTGGTAGACATATCGAGCATTTACCACATATATGACATTATTCTTGGTGCTTTACATTTCTGAGAGGAAAATAACATTTGCCATCACTTTAAGCATTTTCTTACAGTACTTCTCTCCAAACACTACTGAACAAAAAACAATGTGAGCAATTAAGTGGCTGGCCCAAGGTCAGGGTATTCATAAAAAAAATTAAAACTGTTGAAATAGGAACTAAATGACACTAAAACAGTAACAGAAAATCCCTTTCAATCACTGATGTCTCTTTTGTTTTATTGTAGCAAAATATACATACAATTTACCATCTCATCCATTTTTAGGTGTACAATTCAGTGGCATTAAATACATTTACAGTGTTATGAAACCATCACCATTATCCATGTCCAGAACTTTCTCATCATCCCAAACAGATCACTAATGTTTTATATCTAGTGAAAATGAAGTTAATTGTTTTGTTCTTGCTTACTCTACGTACAAAATAAAAGACAAAACTCCTTGATACGGACTTGAAAAATAAATTAGAATACAACTCATATTTGCGTCCTACAATCTTTGTGAAAACAAAAGATCTTTTGCAACATATGCTGTGGCGTATAAATAAAAAAGACCTCTACTCGGGGGGCAGCCACATATGCTTCTCAACCAGCAGCCAATCCCACTCTCCACACCCTATCCATTTACTGTTGAAACCACAACACACTGAGATGATGTATTACTATGTTTATGATCCGGGGCAGGCAGACGTGATTCACTGTTCCTGAGCTGGGGGTGAAGCAGGCAGAGGGACGTTAACTCTCTGCCTCCTGGACTGCTATAAACAATGTCAAGCCCATGCTCTAAAGATCTTACTGGCATCTGCTACCAAAGCCACCAATTTCTCACAGCTAGAGCCACTGGCCTCCCACCCACCTACAAGTGCAGGGCAGTCCAGGAATCCAGACTCACTCCTGTTGCGCGAGCACTCCAGGGAGCTCAGTGTCAGATCCTTCTGGCTCAGGGCCCCAAGGGCCCAACTGCTGCTCCTCTGGGACCAAGTCTCAGCATGACAGAGTACCTCCAGGAACCGGGCGGGTCCCTGTCTCCAGATGCTGTCCAGGACTTCAAAACCTCGAGCCTGTCTTGTTCTTGCCAGTTTTCCAAGGCACTCTACGTCTAGAGTTCCACTAAGTCTAGACACCAGTGCCCTGAGGAAGTCTAGTCTCTATCAGTGGTTCTCAAACATCAGGGACATTCAAATCCCCTGGAGGGCTTGCTAAAACACAGATCACTGGCCCTCATCCTCAGAATGTCTGAGGCAGTCAGTCTGGGTTGGGGCCTGAGAATGTGCATTTCTAACAAGCCAGGGGATCCTGATGTTGCTGGTCTCGGAACCACACTTTGCAAACAGCTGGTCTAGCTGTTAGGGACTGAATTGTGTCCCTCAAAAATCACATGCTGAAGTCCTAACCCATAGTGTGACTGTATTTGGAGATAGGGCCTTTACAGTAGTAGTAGTAGTAATTGAGGTTAAATGAGGTAATAAGAATAGGGCTCTAATCCAATATGACTGGTGTCATTTTAAGACGACGACGAGACACCAGGGATGTCCACACACAGTGAAACGGTGGCCATCTGCCAGCCAAGGAGAGAGGCCCTAGGAGAAACCAACCCTACCAACACTGTGATCTTGGGACTTCCAGCCTCCAGAACAACGCGAAAATAAATCTTTGTTGTTCAAGCCACTCAGTCTGTGGTATTTTGTTACAGAACCCTGAGCAGACTAAAACATAGCTCTACCCATCTTGCCTGCCAACTCTGTTCTCCGACTTGACAGGATGCCCTCAAGCTGAGGTCTGAAGGGAAAGAAAGGAGCAGCCAACTGAGAGCCCTAAGACGGGGATTCCCAGCGGAGGGGACCGCACTCCCTGAAGCCCCCAGCAAGCACAGTGAGGCTGACACCAGGCCCAGGGAGAAGGTGCAGAGGGCCAGAGCACAGGCCTATGCCTGCAACTCCAAGGAGGACAGGTTGTGACCAGATACACCCAAATGGAGAATGACCCATAACTAGCAGCTTTGGAGTTGGAGTCTCTAGACTTCCATGTAAATATGCCCCCAAAAAAGGTATCTTAATTTTTTTGACTAACGTTCAAATTAGTGTGCATTCTCTGAATACTGACATGATTGGAAGGAGAGCCAGAACTGAGGCACGTGGTGGAGAAAAACATTTAAATGTGTGGTAGTTCATCTAGGTGTGCAAACAAATTTTAGTCTGGCACAATAAAAGCTGCAAAATAAAAAATATTAAGCAATAAACCCAAACACACATAAGCAAGAATAAGGGACACCCCAGCTTACTGGGTCTAACTTACCTGGACAAATACGATGGCTTGTTGTGGATAATAAAGAGAGGCAGCAAGTCCCATGAATCCAGGTGGATACACCAGCTTCTTTATTTTTGAACCTATTAAATAAAAGGTTGTAGATGCCAACAGATGATTCATGACCCTTACCATCTCAGTTTGCCCTGGACACCTAACACTGAATAAGACTACTTTTCTTGATCCTAGATTAACAGAGAATGTGCCTAATAATGTCATATGCACTAAAAAGAACCACCACATCTTCACAGCTTTGGTGAAATGTAATTCACACAACTCACCCATTTAAAGTATACATTCATCATGATGTATTCACAGAGGTATGCAACCATCACTACAATCAGTTTTAGAATATTTTCATCACCCCAAAAAGAAACGCCATATCCATCCCTATTTCCCCATTACCCCCATCCCTAAGGGACCACTAATGTACTTTCTGTCTCTACAGAGTTGCCTACTCTGGACATTTCACATAAATGCAGTTATATAATATGTGGCCCTTTGTGACCGGCTTCTTTCATCAGCACAATGTTTTCAAGAGAACCACCACTTCTAAGGAAGCAAAAATAAAGAATGTTCTGAAAAGAAGCCCACGGCACTTTGGTTTCTAAGGTTTCTGTTCTTTTGTAGTAAACTAGCTTCCTATTTAAGGACTCAACACAAGCACTGCTCTCCTCTCCTTTCTAATACTCCATGAAAATTAACAGTAAAAGAATAAAATACAGGTAATAAACCCACAATGAAGAGGAAATGTATGGAGGGGCCATCGGGAGATAAGAAGTGTCATCCAATTTACAGAAAACGGAGAGTGGACAGAAGCAAGAGGACACACAGCTATGAAGTCCGGAGGAGAAGGGAGCAGCAGGGTCCCCAGCAGCCCAGAGATGGCAGGTACTGTGGAGGATGGAGAGGGCAGCCAAGGATCAAGATGGGGGTAGGCGGGGAGACGTGGGGACTATGGACGGACGCAAATATAAGTCCTGTGCAGAGTCTAGGTGGTGCTCTCCTTCCTCCATGCCATCTTGGTGTAAAACTGCCTGTGACCGGGCAGTCTATCCAGCCAAACTTTTACAAAGGTGGAGAAGTATCTTTAAAGCGGGGCTCCTGGGTGGCTCAGTCAGTTAAGCATCTGACTCTTGATCTCAGCTCAGGTCTTAATCTCAGGGTGAGTTCAAGCCCTGTATTGGGCTCCATGCTGGGTATAGAGCCTACTTTAAAAAAAAACAAAAAAGGGGCGCCTGGGTGGCTCAGTCGTTAAGCGTCTGCCTTTGGCTCAGGTCATGATCCCAGGGTCCTGGGATCGAGCCCCGCATCGGGCTCCCTGCTCCGCGGGAAGCCTGCTTCTCCCTGTCCCACTCCCCCTGCTTGTGTTCCCTCTCTCGCTGTGTCTCTCTCTGTCAAATAAATAAATAAAATCTTTAAAAAATAAAAAATACAAAAAAACAAAAAGGAGTAATCTCTAAAGAAATGCCATAAATTTTCTGCTGAGAACCAAGATAGCTGGTGTGTGTGCATGTGAGCGTTAGTACCTAAGAGCAGAGTTTTCCTAGCATAGGCCCCAGGTGTGGCACCCTGCGTATAAAGTCAGTTCCCTTTCAGCTCACCCTGAGGTAGAACCTGCTAGCCAGTAAGCCCCATCTATGCCCAAAAAAATTCTTATTAGCATTTCAATTGTCATGCTCTTAAACATGACTATATAAACAAGGATCACTAGTCATTTGAGGAAAGCCTGCAGCATAAAAGAGAAGACCAAGACAAGCAAGAAAGGAAAAAAAAATGACTCTACAGGAAACAAAATAACTTAAAACTACACCTGTTATTAAGTATAATCGAATAAATTTAAGAAGCTACTACACTGAAATTAAAAAAGGGTTCTATGAAAAAGGAACAATCAAAGAATAAGAAAGAGCAACTTGGAAATGACAAAAGTAAAAAAAATCAAATCAAAAGGAATAAATCAAGAAAATAAAAGAGACATACAGGGTCACTTAAACAGCTTCATTGCTGATTCAGGAAGGAAAAAGAATGAGAATAAATTTTCAAATAAATACAAACCAGATTACGTTCCTACAGCTGAGGGTTGCAAGACACCAAAATGCCCAACCAGGAATGAGACATCTATATGTAGTCACAGCATCCTGAAGTTCAGAACACTGAAGATTAAGAGAAGATCCTCAAAGGTTCCGGGGGAAAAAAAAATGAATCACTTCAGAAGTAACAAGCATCCAGGCTGGCTGCTGACAGACACATCTGCAAGGCCAGATGCTAGAAGACATAGCCTTCAAAGTTTCGATGGAAAACAAATTCCATACCCAACCAAATTATCACCGAATATGAGGGTAGAAAGTAATTTTTAGACTTGCAAGGATTTAGAAAGTTTCCTTCCATTTAGAAAGTGGGCTTTTTTGAAAGTGACCTGAGCATGTAGTTCAACAACATGGCAGAGCAAACCAAGGAAAAGATGACATGGAACCCCAAAATAGGGGGTCAAACCCAAGAGAGCATGGAGCCATGTCCCAAGACCACCGCAGTGCTGAGTCTCCGTCCAGACTTCAAGAGGATATGTGAAAGAGGACTTCAACTACCTCCATTTTGACCTCAGTCTACACTTTTTTAAAATTTTTTAAGATTTTATTTTTAAGTGATCTCTACACCCAACATGGGGCTTGAACTACAACTCCGAGATCAAGAGTCACCTGCTCTAATGACTGAGCTAGTCAGGCGCCCCTCAGTCTGCACTTTCTAAATGATTAAATTTCCCTTTCTAGCTTATCTCTTAACTCAGGCAAAAGACCCTACATGCAAAATGTCCCCTGGTGGGAACCAAACCTACCCCAAGTAATAAGGACTGCACTGAGCCAGCAGGACCCCACGTGACTGACTCCAAGACAATGATGGACTTAACCTTCACTGACTACCTGCACTTACCTTTGCCCCACATTTTCCCTACATAAACCTGGAAGGACTTTCGGCACTTTGGAGACAGTCTTTGAGACACTAGTCCACTGTCTTCTGGGTGTTGGCGTCACTGAAATAAATTCCTTTCTTGTTTCAACACCACTTATCTCTCTGCCTTTGGATTTTGTCAGCGATGACTGACTGAACCTGGTCTGCTTAAGACTCCCGAAGACAGCTGCTCTTACACCCTTGCACCCCAGCTACACGTAGAGCCCTGGGCAGAAGGGAATGGCAGGATAGGTAGCAGCACGGAGAACTGGAGAAGCCTGAGAATGAGGTTCAGAAAACTGGTACCAGGTGAAATAGGAGGAGCCTCTAGAAATGAACTTGGACCTAGACAGTCTCTGCTGAGAGGCGCAGGACTTTGGACATGGGACACGGATAGATGCTAGTGAAATGTATGTTACTAACACAGAGTTAGAATAACCTAAGTGCTGTTTACTGGTTTTAAACTTTAAACAGACATATCTCCAAAGATGGAACTGGGGTCACAGAAGACAAAATAAATGTTATCAATCTAGACTCTTAATAAATTAATGTTTCTTTCCTCATCCTACTGCCTTGATTGAAAGGATAGAATTACTCTAGAAAACACTGTTTTGTCCCTGGGGTCCCACCGGTATAGTTGAAGCTTTAAGTTCCTGAGCAGCTCACATAAGTGAGGACCAGGTGAAGGGCAGCACAGCTGACAACCAGCCATTTCTGGGTCATTTACAAAAAACTGGTAAGCAGCAGCTCCTGGGCCTCCAGCTCCTAATGGTTCACACAATGAGCTGGGGTCTCCAAAACTTCAGGAAGGCACTGGGGAGGGGGAGGAGCCACAGGAAGGCAACGATAGTGGGCAACAACCACCCGTCACCCTTAAGTGACCTGGCTGAGTCCACTTCCTCAGAATGATCATCCACTCATCTCCTAGAGAGGTGCCTCGTCATCACCAGTCATGGCCATTCTCATCAAATGAGCAGGACTACCTTAGCATTTATGCTCAAGAAACCCTATTATATGATCCAGCAATCCCTCTTCTGGGTATACACCCAAAGGAAATGAAATCAGTCTCTCAAACAAGTATCTGTGCTCCCATGTTCACTGCAGCATTAGTCACAAGAGCCAAGACATGGAAACAACCGAAGGGTCAAGGGATGAGTAGGTAAAGAAATTGTGATACCTACATGAATGGAATATTATAATATTATTCAGCTTTAAAAAAGGAGACCCTGCCATTTGCAACAACATGGATGAACACAGAGGACATTGTACTATGTGAAATAAGCCTTAATGAGAAAGAACAAAAACTACATGATCTCACTGATATCTGTAATCTAAAAGAGTCAGATGCATAGAAGCAGACAGCAGACGTGTGGCTACCAGAAGGAGTGGGGGAGGGGAGATGGAGAGATGCTGGTCACAGGGTACAAAGTTGCAGTTATGTAGTATGAGTAAGCCTAGAGAGTAATGTATGGCATGATGACTACAGTTAATAATACTGAATCTTGGAGATTTACTAAGAGAGATTACTGGTGCTTTCATCTAAAAAAAAAAGGTAACTATGGGGCGCCTGGGTGGCTCAGTCGTTAAGCGTCTGCCTTCAGCTCAGGTCATGATCCCAGGGTCCTAGAATTGAGCCCCGCATCGGGCTCCCTGCTCAGTGGGAAGCCTGCTTCTCCCTCTCCCACTCCCCCTGCTTGTGTTCCCTCTCTCACTGTGTCTCTCTCTGTCAAATAAATAAATAAAATCTTAAAAAAAAAATAAAAAATAAGAAATAAAAAAAAATTTTTTAAAGGTAACTATGATAGAAGGTATGTTAATAGTTTGACTGGAGCAATCATTTCACTATGTATATGTATGCATATATGTATATCAAAACATGTCATACACCTTAAATACATACAATTTTTATTAAAAAATAAAATTTTGGGGGGCGCCTGGGTGGCTCAGTCGGTTAAGCGACTGTCTTTGGCTCAGGTCATGATCCTGGAGTCCTGGGATTGAGTCCCGTATCGGGCTCCCTGCTCGGCAGGGAGTCTGCTTCTCCCTCTGACCCTCCCCCCCTCGTGTGCTCTCTCTCTCATATAAATAAATAAAATCTTTAAAAAAATAAAAATAAAAAAATTTTTTAAACGTTAGACAAAAAAAAAAGAAAGAAAAGAAACTCTGTGTCAGGAGGGATCTTCTGAGCCCACCCTGATGCTGCTGGCATAGGGGGACCACCTACCTGGAGGGGGGCTGCAAACCACTCCAGATACCCAATAAACATACTCACCATCCTGCCCATCTTATTCAGTGACCACCTGACGTTGTTCACCTCAGGCCTTTCTACCCCAGCCCCAAGGAAAAGACTTGTTGAATATTTGTGCATGAATGTGTGTGTGCACATGTGTACCTTTTTTAAGATTTATATATTTATTTCAGAGAGAGAGAGAGTGAGAGCAAGGAGAAGGGGCAGAGGGAGAGAATATCCAAACAGACTCCCACTGAGCATGGAGCCCGACGCCTCAGATCAGGACCTGAGGCGAAACCAAGAGTCGGATGCTTAACCGACTGAGCCAACCAGGTACTCCCGTGTGTACTTTCTTGAAAAAGAATTAGGGTTTTACATTATGTTAATGCTACTGAGCACTCCCTGGAAAAGGAAAAGGAGAGAGGAAAAAATAAACCAGCAAGCAAAACGAAGGAATAGAACCCGCAGTAGTGGGTGTCCTTATGTCGCTGTTCTGCCCAGGAGAGCACAGTCCCCGATTCTCCTCAGGATGCTCACCGCAGTGGACGTGCCCGGGGATGAACACCAGACAGCATGGCAACACACGCACACATGCACAGCAGAGGACGCTGGCTTTAGGGCCATGCTCTCACCATGTGGGAGGGGGAAGCTAATCTCACTTGATTCCACATTCCTGGCTCCCTAACAGTAGCCAAGATTCCAACACCCTGGCCTTGGGAGCTTCATAAACTTAAAACGCTATCTATCTAAGTGAGAAAGGAATGCTTTTTTGGACAGCTTTACAGAAAGGAGGGGGAAAATGTTTGGTGGGGGAGTTGGTTCAACTCTCTCACGAGTCAATTAGTAAAAATGAACTCTAATTCTTATATATTCTGCACAGGCTGGGAGGAGGGCACAGAAACTATGACAGGAGTTCATTCCACAGGTTGAGGGAGTGGCACCATGCTGCCTGTTTCCAGAGTAAAATAACAGATACGGCATGTGCAGAAAAGCTTTATAAAATTGGAGGAATGCGTATCAAAGCAGTCACTATAGTTAATCTTTTTTGAGGGTCTGATTGCAGGGTTCATAAACCCTCTATTTTAGGAATTTTTGTCAAGTCTGAATTTTATAATCAGTGAAACCTCAGTAGTTTATAACAAATTCATCCCATTATAGTGAAGTACCTTGTCATCCTTTATTTCCTCTAAATGTTTGCAATCCAGCAGTATAGTGTAGTAATATATTTCAAGTTGACATCTGTTAGTTTTTAAGTGTTTTAAAAATTTTAATATCATCACTGATGACCGAAGCTATGACACATCAAGAAATTAATAAAATCTCTATGAAATCACTCTTCTATTTACTGTGATTAATAGCCTGATCTCAACAGTGAAACAAATAGAAACAGTTTCTCAGGTGTGACAGACTTTGGTTAACAAAAATTCACTCTTTCTGTACCAAAGGGAGATAGTAACTTAATCAAGTACATGTGTCCATAAAGGATTTAACTATATTATTTTTTTAACCAACAGTATACAATTTCTTCCATTTCATATTTTTATAATTTCTATATATGCTTAAAATCAAATATACTGGAGAAAATAACCATATCAATTATATATTAAGAGGCCATATTTCAGGAACCAACTCATTATTCTGACAACTGGCAGATAAAAAGAAATAACCAAGTATCTATCTTATCTCTCCCTTATGAGCTGTTTAAAAAAAAACCCAAAAATTGCACCCACCTCTAGCCAAAAGAAGTCCAACAATGCCAGCAAAACCAATAACACCAAGTCTTGGAAAAAAACCAGGAGGTGCATTTTGGAGATATTCATAGCTGCCTACAATAGAATCAGACCAGGAAATAGTTCTGTAAATTGCCCATTAAGAAACAAACCAAAAAAATCTTACACATAACTAGTATATATAGTATCAAATGCTTCTCAAATAATGTGTTCTTTGTTTTATGCTAATATGCTTTTTTCAACACATTCTTTTTATGTGATATATGAACACGATTTATTATTCACATAGCAAGTAGCCAATTTTCAAACACTTCCGGTCTGATGACCTACTGACAAGAAAGTAATGTTAGACTACCTTCATATTCCTGAATGCAACAGATCTGAATCAACTATACACAGGGGGAGAAATACCAATACAGGGATTCCTCGCCTTCCAAACACAGAAACAGAATAGATTTGGATAGATCTGCCGCTGTCTTGAAGCTCTGCTGCTTGTTCTCTGAAACTCAGGAATCAAATACATGAGGCTCAGAGGAAAAACGTTTCCTTTGCCATCTGAATTCATTCTTCGAAATTGAGAACAGAATAAATCTGGACAATGAAGGAAACTGTTAGTGCAAGTATATGCGGGAAATAGTCCCTGGTGATAGATAAACACAAAGAAATGCAGCATGTGAGCCTAGGTGTCATGCCTGAGCATGCCTTATGACCTCATTTGAATGATGACACCTCTCCTGTCCACTGAGCCAATCCCACGAAGTAAGAGCCATCTGCATTCCTAACCTCCTCAGAAAAGCCTTTCCTAGACTCCTCAGCCCATGCCTCTCTCTCTCCTCTAAAGTCCCATCATATTTATTCTCTGGACCCTCATTTGGTATGTAATCTTATATAGCACCTTATGTTTAATTATTCAGGGGTGTATTTTATGTCTCCTCAAGGAGAACATATGCTCCTGAATGGTACATTGCTTGGACTTCTATGTTATTTTCCCTCAGTGGTAACAGTGGATGTTCGTCCAACAGGTATTTACTAAAAGCACTGCTAGGTGTTGACGGATACTGAATGAATTAACAAATGGGTTTCAGAGAGGCTGTAACTTAAAAACGCTTCACGTCTCACTCTCAACCCCATCTTCAGCACTTGCGATCTGCTTCCAGTTTCCGGCTCAGGAAACAATGAGTCACTCCTCCAAGCCCTGGTTGGGCTGTGTCCTCTGTGTGGAATGCTGCCAAGTTCCACCCCCATGTCTTGGTGTGGTTGACTTTACTCTAAGATTCAACTTAGAAACACTTCCCTGACTCTTCCCCTCCCTCCAAACTCCATTAAACTCATCTCCTTCCTCTGAACCTTCAACAGTGGTCTGTGACTTTCTCTGTATTTGTGCTACTGTTGAAAATGTATTATATGCACCTCGGTGGTTGTGACCACTGTCTTAATCAGCCACGATCTTCCATGCCTGCCATGGAAGGCATGTATGTGGAACCGAACTAACTGGAATGCTTGGTAATTTTCTCCCCCAGAAAAGAGCAGACACATGCCAGTTTTCCATTTCCTGGGTGTTTGGGAAATGTGGGGATCGTTTTAAATAATACTATAGGGCTTGTGCTGTTTGCACGAATTCCTGTCTGGCCTTTTACTTATTTTGCCTTTAACTTAGTTTTCACTTTCCATCTCAGTGTCTGGGTCATCTGAAGCAATTTTCTACTTCCCTTTATTTTTGCCTACCAGCACAGTGTTTTTAATTCGAGACGTGCACACGGAGCAGTTGATAGGAGGTCACCCAGATGGCCTTGGTGAGCTGAGCTGAAGTGAGTGAATCACAGAGAAATGAGAAAGAAGATACGCTAAAAGGCTGCGATGAAGCCCCAGCCCGGCTTCTGGTAACGGGTCGTGGCTGTGACTGCTGGGAAATGGATGGACCGCCTTGGCAGATAACAACACAACTCATAATGGAATGTTTTTTCTTAAGAGCTTTTGCAGTAACCAGTCCAAGAGACGAAAAACAGGACTTAGGTTGCAAATAATGCCTATTGCTATGAATCAATGGGAAGTGATAGGTAACAATGAAGAGCCCTCCTCAGTCACATATGTAATGACAAGAGATCAGAAGTTCTTTAGTTTCCTCAGATTAAAACATGAAGGTAATAAAAGCACCTATCTGTCAGGGTTATGAGGATTATACATAAATTAATATTTTAAAGCACTCAGACTAGTTCCTGGCATGTAATAAAAACTAAATAAGTGCTGATGAAATTAATAAAACTAAGACGTTACTTATTAACATACATATTATTCATGGATGTTAATAACCTGTATCAGCCCATCAACACTCCATGATCTTCGGAAGGAAATAAACTGTATTCGTGCTTGTTTTATTCTGTCATGGAAGCAAACACTTGTAAAAACATGAGTTTTTCTTTGCTGAGATGCCCAGTAAAGGGAATGAAACACACTCAATGTCCATTAATTCACCAGTTTCTGATGGAGATGAGTCAGAATGTAGACTGTGAACCAAGTTTATGAGTGTATGGGATAAGTGGATGTGAAAAACAATCAAGGACAATAAAAAAAATGTAAGAACACTACTCATGCAGTAAGGTCTTTCCTAGGCACACCAGCCCAGTTCCTTCTAGCCTCTAAACTTCTATAACATGTATTAAGAGACATACAAATAAGTTATCCTGATTCCGAAAACCTACTGATGAGTTAGTGGGGGTTAGTGTGAGTCATGGACACTGCACCTGGAAACAGATTTCAGGGGAAAAAAAACATCCAATGTCTCTGAACTTGTTAGCCCAACAATCCTAATGATCTTGAACAGACTTCCCCAATGTTTAGGGACACTAGTCCTCTGAAATCTGAGGAAAATAACAGATCTTCTTTCCAGAAAAATCCACATAGCTCTAATATTCTGCATACAATTTCAAGGAATTTCCAGATCTCCTGGAGCCCATCCAGGGAATCCCAGTTAAAAAATCCAATATTAATGAAGAAACTGATTATGCCTAATCAACTTACCTAATAAAAATTTTTAAAAATCAACTTACCTAACCCCCATTGAACCAAGCTCTGCATCCTGGGCTTAGTTTGTGAGTACATTTCCTAAAAAGGTAAAAAGAAAATGAATGAGAAGGATATGCTGATTAGAAAGTAACAATAAATATATTTGTCTTTACTGCATAGATTATCATATTATTAACACTTCGTGAACAAAGGGATATACTGTCTGGGGTTTTTTGTGTTCTTTTTCTCTTGTGTAATTTCCCCTTCACCACAAACTGCTCAGCAGAACAGTTTATTATTGCCACAGGAAGCAAACACTACAAGCAGAGTGATTTCAACAACCCAGCCTTTTTATTCTTCTATTAGATTCAAAGAGAATAGACAAAAATCAACCCCCTTGATAATTAAAGTGGCAATCCTCTCCCTGTGAGATTAAATCTGTCTTTCATATTAAGTCTATATGTCATGATTTTAGAGTCTGTATCTGAAAACTGCCCTTCAGGAATGACCACCTTGAATGGGACAAAGGAGTCTATATCCAAGTTTTGAGAGATATTTACCCTAATCCTGAGCAAATGAAGTATTAATATTCTCTTAACAACAATAAAATGGCTTTGTACAAGAACATCATATATCCTAAAGAAAACAACGGACTAACTAGAAGGTACCCCACTTTCACGAAGTCTACAATAGGGGCGCCTGGGTGGCTCAGTCAGTTAAGCGTCTGCCTTCGGCTCAGGTCATGATCCCAGGGTGTGGGGCTCCCTGCTCAGCGGGAAGCCTGCTTCTCCCTCTCCCTCTGCCCCCCCATGCTCGTGCTCTCTCTCTCTCTCCCTCAAATAAATAAATAAAACCCTAAAAAAAAAAAGAAGTCTACAATAAAGATAGGAAAAGAGACACATGGACATCAGAAGGTATCAGAACCAGCTGCCACTTGGAAAAGGATTTGTTTTGTTTAATTTGGTCCAAGTCAGAACAAGTTATCCTAATACTGTTAATGCCCTTAAACAATAAACACTGAATTTAGGGGAGGACATAAAAAACATTAAAAAATTGAATACTGCTTCATTAAAATTCATTATTGGTATTTTAATACCCATAAAAAGAAAGAAAAACTACAGATAAATGTCTAGAGTGATGACCTATTTCTTTTGCTGGCATAATCTTCTCACTATAAACGAAAATTAAATTAGTTTTGAAAGAAAGGGGCTAGAAATTATTGGCCCAAGGAGCCAGGAATTAGAAATATTTCTATTGAAGAAGACATCATTCTGTAGAAAAATAAAGCCATTGTAATCACAGAATGGCTTTTTTATTTAGAAATAGTACAAATAAACATGTTGATAATTATTCTGTCGTTTAGAGAGGTATTTTGCTGCACTGAGCATCATGCACAGATGAAAAAGTAAAAAACAAAAGGCAATCTTAGGTTGAAAGGTTAAGAGACAAAGTACTTTTATAACCCCCCCCAAAAAGAGCACAAAATAACCGCAGTCAATGCCTACATGACAGAAAAATATTCGCACAAATTTGCCGACCTTATCTTAACCAGCAGATGGTTTAAATATCTTCTAGAACAAGAGAATAAAGTCTAAGCTTTTTACAACACATTATGTAAAAGTCTTTAGATATTTATAACTCAATAATATGGTTATGATACTTAAGTATACTGGCCTAATTTATACTGTTGACAGAGTCTATGCTTACTATTGTCTTCTAAATTGGTGAAAAAAAGTTCAGCAGTGGCACAGAGAATGGAAATGAAAATCTTAAGTTCTGGATGAAAATTCAGTCTGTAAATCTCAAGCAAAGTATAGCTAGACCATGTCACACACAACTACATACTTTGTACTAATCTGCCATCAATTTTTGAAATCCAGATCAAGTATGGCAAATACTTTATGTGTCAAAGCCCACAAAAGCATTCTGTAGATTGTAAACTTCCATTTCAGATGTTAAGAATTGCAGAAATGCTTCCACGGACATAGTAACAAGTGCCTGATCTAAAACCTGAGCAGTCACAGAAGCCCATCTGCCCATGTAGCTCTTTGGTCACTGGGGCAAATAGTTCAGTACTCAAATACGTAATCCCACACTTTTTTTAGCTATATCCATCCTTCTATTACAGCATTCAAAATGTTCTGTAACCATTCCTGTTAAAATGGTTCTGATGTGTACACTTTCTGGGGGGAGAAAAACTTTCCAATTTTGATATAAATGCTTACATTATATCCTTTTCCTTCTACTAGAGTTCCCAGCCCCATACCCTCCCCTGGGAGACAATCATGGCTTCCTAGCTGCGACCAACAAGATAGTTACCAGTCCACTCTCCAGTCAAGGTGCTACACGCTGCCTGGGAGGAGGGACATTCTCCCTGCAGCAATGGCAAGACTTGCCACCAGGACGCTAGGGCTCTCTGCTCCCCTCAGAGATGGCACTGATGAGCACCGCAAGTCAGGCCCTCGAAGGTTGGAGCCCTCTATCGTGCCTTTTTCTGAAAACATGCAGCCAATATAGACTTTCCACTCTTGACTCTAGACCGAAATGTGTCACTCCACTTTTAGAACAGCTGTACCTGACACCAACTTGTATATGGCTCGCAGTAATGTCGGAGATGTGAAATGCTTTCTTCAAGTGGGGTCCTTGGCTCCTCCACGTATTTAGATTGACCCTCAGGGACGGAGTAGAGTGAAAGCTGCATACGTTAAAAAGCAAAACAAAAAGAAATAAAAAAGCACATGCAGTCATAAGATAATGCAATCAATCATCAAATCGGCAAGCATCATTATTTCTAATAATTCATGAATTGCTGTGATTCTAAGGGTTTCATGCACCTTACTTCAGAGGATCTGTGCATCTGATTTATCAGTAAGAAGAAGGCCAAGAAGACAAAACTATGAAGTGTCCTACCCTTCTCCCACTCCAGTGGTAGCAGACAAAGCAGCCCCGCCTTGATCCATTTTATATCCTGGCATTTGGTATTTCACCTTAGATACAGTTTGGAAAAAGGATTCTATGACTCTAAAGTGAGGAGGGGATGCAAAAAAATAGAGTTTAAATGATCAGTCTGGTGCTAATCCAAGCAGGATAGCAAGTTTGTTCCCCACCCAGAGGAGCGGCCGTTCATAGTCACTACTGGCTGCCTTCTTCACCCTCAAAAAACACCACAGTCCCAAGGTCTGAGAAGAGTAAAAAGGGCAAAAGATAAACTAATTAGCTTTTTGAAAACACCATTCAAGTAACCTGGTTCATGACTGAAGGCAGATCTTTACATCATTTTACTCTAAGTCAACAGAAAGCAAATATCCAAAATAATCGCCGGGAAGTATAGACAAAAAAAGAATGTAAACAATGGAGAGAAGATTTCTTGTTTTATTTATTTAGTATTTATTAAGCATCTACTTAAAAGCCTCTAATCTGGCCAAGAAGAATGAAGCCTGGTCTTACAGAGGGAAAAATGCAAATATTTTCTTGGCTTGAAAGCAGTCTTGCAGGGGCACCTGGGTGGCTCAGTTGGTTAACTGACTGCCTTCGGCTCAGGTCATGATCCCAAGGGTCCTGGGATCGAGCCTCACAGAGGGCTCCCTGCTCTGTGGGGGAGACTGCTTCTCCCTCTCCCTCTGCCTGCCACTCCCCCTGCTTGTGCTCTCTCTGTTAAATAAATTAAATCTTAAAAAATAAAAAAAAAGGAAAGCAGTCTTGGATGAGGCGGATCACTTAGCGGGGACGAGCAGATTCCCCACAAAAAAATCTAGGAAATACTCCTTAATTATGTCTTTAGCTAACTATCATTAATTAAAGTTTATTTGTTGAAAAGCTACATTTTAGTAGCCTCCCACGAAGAAAAACTATAAAGAAATATATTTCCTCCCTTTAAGTGTCTTCTAAACTGTCCTGTCTCCTGATATACAATGTGTATACTTCGTACAGTAACTAAAGCAGATGTTCAAAAAATATCACAACATGAATGGCATGTTACCTCATTAACTTTCACAGAAGTTTTGTGAGGTGAGTCCTTTTTAGGTGATGCATAGACTCTGAAGGTGAGCAGACTCAGGCTGGCTGGCCCCACAGACCTCTGAATTACCTGAAACACAGAAGCAATCTTAAGCCTTCTGTCAGTGCAATAAACTGAATGTGCATAACGTGAGTACATTTATTGCGCTTTATGAGAAACAGATGTATTCCTGAAGTTTTATGGAAGTCAGAAACTAAAAAACGTGTACTCACAGACTTAAAATTTCAGGTCACCTTCACCTTAATTTCCAAGACAGTAGTTCTTAAGTTTTTCTACTTAGCCTGTCAAGTAAAATAAAAGGTACATACAAAGACACATGTGCGCACTTTTAAAAATAACAGAGAAATGCTATGGAATGATTTTAAAATTATAAGAGTCTCGATCTCTCTCACACACATACACACACCCCCACCAACAACAGTGGAAGAAGTTTCTAATGATTTCAACTAGTGATTCGCTGAACAGAGTGAAGATTATTTCTGTGATTCTAATTACCAAACTTTCACAAGCTTTCTCTTTCCATTCCCATTCAGAGCTGGTCTCCCCCAATCTAAGTTCCCCAGCTCAGTATCTTTTCCTGCCTTGCCCTCCCTCACTGGGTCACTCACACCCAGGGCTGCAATGCGAAGGCAGTACCTCCCAGATATGCAGCCCCAGCCCAGAGCTCCCTCCTGAGCTCCCAACTCACTATCCAATTACTCCTGGACATTTCTACTTTTCTACAAGCCATGTCCAAAATCAACTCATCAGGATTTTGACTGTGCCTCCAAGTCCACACTTGGCCTGATGGGTGGGTATGTGCTATGGAATCAAGTCAGAAGGCTTTATTTTCAATAATAATCCCCTACCTTTACACAGCACTTGACCATCCAGCATCTTTCCCCCAGACCTGCCCCTTCTTCCTCTACTTCCTCTCAGGCATGGTGCCACCACCCAACCAGACAACCTGGTCAGAAGCTCTGAGGTCATATTCACCACCACCCTGCCCTATCGGTCAGTAAGTCCTGTTAATTCTAACTGTTCAATAATCTCAATTCACTCTCCCCACTTTATCTCCTCCTGTACAATCTTCCCTTGGGCCCTCATTTCTTGGATTGTTTCCAGCAGCATTCTAACGGCTCACCTGGCCCTCTGATGACTCGAACCACCACAGTGCAAAAGAATGATCTTTCTAAACTGCAAATTGATTATCTTCTACCCTTCGAGATCCTTCGTTATTTATTATCTAGGACTTTTATGCGGGCCAAACATGGCCCATTATGATGCGACCCCAACCACCTTCTTTCACCTCATCTCTGCCACTCTGCCTTCTCCCACAACACACGAACTCCCTAGATTTCTCCCATGCTGTTGCCCAGCTTCCTGGGTTTACACATGCTGCTTGCTCTACCTGGAATGTCCTGTCCTTGCTTTGTCTTTCTGTACAACTGCCTATGAGCAAGGAGATATATTGCATTTTTCTTTTCTTTTCTTATTTATCCATTTATTTATGTCTATCAAGTTCTCCCTACCAGATTGGAAGACCTTTCACGATGCTGCCATGTCTTACTTGGTCTCCCTACTGCCCCTGCCTGTGCCTAGCACAAAAGAAATATTCACTAACTGTTTACTGCCTGCATGAATGGATGGAAGAGAGGTGGAAAATAAATGAGTGGCTGACTTGTTCTAACTCTGTAGGCATGCCTTAGCATCATGGAAATCATATAACTGAGATTTGCAATGCCTGCATTGTGAAGGACTAGGCTATTCCATAATACTCAGAAAACATATAATGCTAAATAAAACATAACAAAATGTCTGTTGTAATGTATGCCTGGAGTTACACACAGAAAGGGAAATTCCTACTTCAGAAGCAAATAAAGAGCTAGAAGCTATTTAAAGGAGTAGCTATGACTTTAAACTGGTATAAAAATAATTAACATAACCTGAAGTAGTAAGTGTTCATCTTGAAAGGACTTAATTTCAACGCAATATTGCTAGAAATTTCTTTTGTTTCCAGGGTAAAGGTTAACCAGCTATTGCTGACAGTCAGTGTGGTCCCTCCTGGCACCCCAGGAGAGGGGCCTATAAGGCTGCTGGTATCTGGAGGTGCCAACTCAGTACTCTCTGCCCCTGAGTCTGTCCACAACCTACTGACAACACTGCTTTGAACTGGGGACTTTACACTGAGCCAGCTAGCCCTACTCTGGACTTTGATCCCCTTCCTTATCAGCAAGAGCCGGTGCCTCACCCTTTCCCACTCCCCATCCAGCATGGCAGCCCCCAAGCATTTGGGGTTCATACTGTCCTCTACCTTCATCATTCTTTTTTAAAAAATTTTATTTGAGAGAGAGAGGGGAGGGTGAGAGAGGGAGAGAGAGAGCACACAAGCAGGCAGAGGGGCAGAGGGAGAGGGAGAAGCAGGCTCTCCACTAAGCAGGGAGCCCGATGCGGGGCTCGATCCCAGGACCCTGGGATCATGACCTGAGCTGAAGGCAGACGCTTAATGACTGAGCCACCCAGGTGCCCCTACCTTCATCCTTCTTTGATATAATGCCTTATGCTGACCTTTTTAATTCTCAGTTCCTGCTTTCGATCCTTAATCCTATCTACTTCTCACATACTTCGTTTTTCATTTCGTAGTCTTCTGTTGTTTTAACTCAGATTTCCACTTTTCCTGTTCTTAGTGATTATTTTCACTCCCTTTCATCTTTTCTTTTCAATCTCAATTTATTCACTGTTTAAATGTAACATTTTATTGGACTCTTGATTACTTTTACTTTATTTTTCCCTTTCATCCACTTTTCTTATTTTAATATTAAGTAAAGCCTGGTCCTCTATTGCTCAAGTTGTTTTCTTCTTCTTCTCCTGTCAGTCTTCCGCCCCCTCAAAAGCCACCCCCACTCCCATCCCACAACAAGAACTATGGCCACAAGGACGGGAGCACCCAAGAAAGCTCCCTCCTGCAAGCTGCCCTTTCAGCTTCCCCAAGGCTCTCAACAAATAAAGAAAAAAATAAACCTCACCCCAGAAGACTTGGGAGAACTACAGATTAACACTCCCTAGGGCCACAATTCTCTCTGCAGAGAGCACATAATTTACTTCAGGGTTTCTCAATCTCAGCAATATTAACACTTTGGCCTGGATCATTCTTTATGTGAAGGCTGTCCTGTGCACTAGACGCTTCTTGAAATCCTTGGCCTCTACCCACCAGATGCCAGTAGCACTCCTCCCAGTCATGACTCAACACCGTGTCTCCAGACACTGCCAAAGACTCCTGGGAGGCATCTCCCCCGCCTCACTCTGCATTAAGAAGCACTGATTTGCCTAAATATTATTTTCTGACATCTCTCATCACCCAGACTTCAAGAAAATTGGGATGTTTTAAAATCCAGGGCCTCAGATCTAATACACAGTGATAGAAATTAGAATAGTCTTGCCTGGGGGGGGTGAAGCGTGGGGAGGGGATGGACTTACTGAGAAGGAGCACGAAGGAACTTTCTGGGATGACAGAAATGATCCATACCTCGATCGGGGTATGGGTTACAGAAAGTGTACATACATTTGTTAAAACTCTAATTGTAAGATCTGTACAACTTAACATCTGTGCATCTCACTGTACATAAACTATATCTCAAAAAATCCATGCACACCTAAACTGCACAAGTTCATGCTAAAATATGAGTGGGAACTGGAGGCCAAGGGTGACCCCTAAGTAATCTGACCATAGTAAGGAACCAGGTGCTATTGAGCTTTGCGACAGAAACCCACAGAAGGAGCCTCAGTAACAGGTCCACAGGCAGACAAGCCTGACGCTGATGCACTGCCCAACATCTTGGATGGTTCACTTTTCTTTTTGGCATCAAATGGGGCTCCTCTTGGTGAGAGACTACCCTATCCTGCCTCAGCCAGACCAGATGTTATCACAAATGGGGATTCTGGAAGCTGGGCCCCTGCCAGGTGTTTACTGTAACTTGTGAGAGCTCATACTGAGTATTCAGGCCAACCCATTTGATATCAGAATTTAAGAAGAGAAAGGCTATTTAAAATGGGCACAGATCACCCCCATGAAAGTAGGAGAGCAAAAGAGGAGTCAAAGAAGAACCTTCTTCAATCTTCTGTCTCAAGGAAGAAAAAACCCCACTAATCTGGAAGTTAGATGTCTTGAAGAAAGATTTAACCAACTTCCAGGGTCTGGATCACTAAATCACTAAAGTTCTGGATTTATCACCTTTTCTCCAATGGACACTTCTATTGGGTTGCCTTGTGTGAGACTGGAACACAGAGGCATTCCCTCCCCATGAGGGGTCTTGACCCATTATGGTACAGACTGAAAATACCTCCTGGGAAATGAGATCTCCCCTGGACCTTTTCTGATGAGAGCTGGAACCTCTAGGCTGTGCATATCCCTGGCCTAAGCACTCACTGTCCCAAGTAACAGTCCTTGAGAATCTTTGTTTGCGAGGTTCACTCTCTACCCAGGACAGATGGCTTGGCTCAGAAAATGGGTACATATGCACCTTCCAAGAGCTGATTAGACATGCTCTAGTTCAGATTCGGTAAGTTTGGCTTGATAAACCAAAGTCGAGCCCACTCTGTTAAGAACTGCATCTTCAACTAGTGCTAAGCTACAGCTACAGAATAACTAGATTCAACAGCTTCGTTGCTTTAGATCCAGCCTATCCTCTGGAACGTATCCTTCAGCTACTAGATGCCTCTCCTGGAACTCAGTTAGGGGTCTCAAAAGTAAGGAAACCAATGTGGTGACTTGTCTGAGGTTCTAAATGCAGCTGTGAGAGACCCTCAGTCATAGAGAAAACTAAAATCTGACTCAGACAAAGGTGAGTTGGTGACACTTAGCTTTGCAAACCTCAGGGGGAGGGCCAGTGAGTTCCCTGGCTCATGTGGCTAACCCTTCTTTCTTTCTGTCTGATTCTATTCCTCAGCGAGGTGTCTTAAACTCTCCCTTATTTAGGTACATTTTCCAACTTAAACATTTGGATTCTTTGTCTTTCAACATTTGTTTTTACATAGCCCACAGAGGGTTTCATCATCAATGTAAACTGAGCACTAGGACTGGCAGGTGGTTG